CTCCAGTCCCAGCCGTTAGCTCCCTCCACTTCAGCTCTCTTCCAGCATCGCTCCTCTGCTGCCCTGCCCCCCCTCCCCTCCCTCGCGCCAGCAGCAGGAACAGGGCTAGAACACAAAGAGGCCAGGGGTGAAAGTAACTTACATTTCTTACTGGTACTGTCCTATCACAGCCCCCATACAATAGTACCTGTAAGAAAGCTGAGTGCAGGGGACTCGGGGCAGAGGCCAGCAGCAGGAGCAGGGCTAGAACACAAAGAGGCCAGGGGTGAAAGTAACTTACATTTCTTACTGGTACTGTCCTATCACAGCCCCCATACAATAGTACCTGTAAGAAAGCTGAGTGCAGGGGACTCGGGGCAGAGGGTTGAGGTGTGTGTGGGGGGTGCAGGAGTCGGGGTTGGGGTGTGAGGGGGGCTCAGGGCAGGAGACGGGGGGGCTTAGAGCAGGGGGACATGGGGGGTGCAGGATTCAGGGCTGGGGGCTGGGAGGGGCAGGGGGCTCAGGGTGGGTGCCTTTAGCCTGCCCATCTAACCTGCTAGGTGCCCTGCAGGAAGCTGGGAGCGCCCTGCCCCCGCCGGCTGCCTGCTTGCATTCGCCTATGGCCAGAGGGTTTGCACCAGCCCGGGCAGCGGGTGTCGGCCACCCCGTTGGCTGACCCTGGGATCGAACCAGAGCTCAAAGCACAGGCTAGAGAGCAGCGTTCCCGTAAGCCGGGCGCTCTTGCGGCTGCTCAGCTAGGTTTTGTTTCTACTGGTGGTGCACATCTGCACGGGCCTTGGTGCACGTCCATTTATTCTGCACATGGATGGAAAAAAAATGTGAGGTGGCTGGAAAAGAGCAGAGGGAACATTGCTAGAGACCTCCGCTCTGGAACAGGCTCATTGCTTGTGGGCCTGTAGCGCTCCCTGACCCCTGGGTTACGTCAGCCCCACAGCAGCCGTGATCCGAAATGACCCTGCTGGACTCTGGAAAGCCAGGGGCCAGCTGGCCGTGGGGCTGGGGTGGATTTGAAGCAGCTGCCTGCCCTCCCCCACAGCTGAGCACGATCCGGCTCTAACGGGAATCGCTCTCCTTTCCCTGCAGACAGACGGGAGGAGACGGCCTGAAGGACGGCGCTGCCCCGACCCGCAGGAACACAAATCTCTCAGGGACCCGAGCAGGCGAACAGAGGAGCCGGGAGCTGGCTCAGGGCAGGCACAAAAGGAAGCAAACAGCCTTAGCCGCCGATGGCCTTGATATTTATGCAAAAACTGGTGTTGGTTTCACTGTCTTCAACAATACAGCTTTAGTTGCATCGTTTGTAACCAACCCCCTGGAGTCCGGCCTCTGGCCCTTCACCTGCTGGATTTGCTGGATTTCTGTGAGGGGGAAGGCTGCAGAGGAACCGCTGCAAGGAAGGTGGAGGGGGGTAGCAGACGGCCTGACGCACGGCCTGCTGGCAGGGAGGGGGCTGGGCTGGGGCTGGAGACCGAGCCGGGGGTGAGAAATGGGGCCCAGGCCCCTACCGGGCTCAGAGCTGCTACAGCCCACAACCAAATCCCAGCTCCCTCCAGCGCGGTTACGGGGCAGGGGCAGTGAGAGCCCTGGGGAGAGACGGTGGGTCTCCCACTCTGCTGCTGAGGGGGGGGGGACTCGGCCCTGGGGCCAGTGGTGTGTAAGCACCAGACCCCTCCAGCAGAGCTGGGCAAGGGAGCTCCACCAGGCTGCGGCAGTCCCTTGGCAGTGCCAGGCTGGGCGGAGGGGGCTCCACCAGGCTGCGGCGGGGCCCTGGCTGTACTGGAAGGGCAGTCCCTTGGCAGTGCCAGGCTGGGCGGAGGGAGCTGCCCCAGGCTGCGGCGGGCCCTGGCTGTACTGGAAGGGCAGTCCCTTGGCAGTGCCAGGCTGGGCGGAGGGGGCTCCACCAGGCTGCGGCGGGGCCCTGGCTGTACTGGAAGGGCAGTCCCTTGGCAGTGCCAGGCTGGGCGGAGGGGGCTCCACCAGGCTGCGGCGTCTCCACACCAGGCTCAGGCCGCTCCAGGTTCCG